TTTTAATGTAAAGTATACATATGTTTAATAAAGCACACATACCTAGCCTGACAGAGGGTTTAAAAAAAAAAAAAAAATTAACCTAATAAAAGGTAAAAAAAAAAAAAAAAAAAAAAAAAAAAAATTAAATCAAATAATAATTAATTGGATTATATATATAATTAATTGAGTTAAATTGAATCAATAATAAAATAAAATAATTTTAGTTATACATATAATAATATCAATAAACAGAATATAAAATAAGATTTATAAAGTTAAAATATTATAAAAACTTGATAAATATTTTAAGTAATAATAATAAATTCAAATTCAAATTTCTTATTGATATAATTCATTAGTTAAAAAGAAGAAAAATTATTTTTATTTGAAAATAAATATTTATAAGATTTCAAAACTTGAAAAATATTATTTATAGATTTGAAAATGTATAATAAAAAAAATTGAAATTGTAAGGTTTTGTTACTTGATAATAAAAAATTAAATTCAAATAAATCTTGTATTTAATGTTTATGTTATGCTTAAAAAAATTGATTATATTATTTGAAATAATTTATTTTAACTGGTTTTCTTATATAAGCAAGTTTCATAATATTTAATTTTAGAGTGAAATATATATTTCATTTTAACTTTGAACTACTTTGAAAAAAAAATGTTAAAATAATATTTATAGGCATTTAATGATTTAAAAATACTGCATGCGCTAAAACCTTGGCTACAAAGTAATACATGAAAATTCCAAAAAGTTGTCTTGTAAAAAATATACAAACCGATTATTTAAATGTAAGATTTTTATACCAAAAAACTTTCCATTATATAATACATTGAAAAAATACTATTATTAATAACGGTCACTTGAGCGAATATTATAAATTTCTGATCTTAGCAACAATTTAATTAACGAACTCAACATCAATTATTCCATTCTCATAATACATAATACTCTGCTGTTGAATTTGCCAACTATCAGGAAAAAATCTTGTGTATATATTATTAACCATGTTTTAACTTTTCCTCTGCAATTTAACTAACAAAGCCTACAACCTTATTCAAGATATTTTCATTTAATTCTTATCTACTACTCTTCTGTTTCAGCAACTGATGCCAAAGACACATTAGGCACGTTCAAATATTTTTCTGGGACTTCCCTATGATGGATGAATAATTTTTGAATTAATTGTAATTAGATTCTTTTCAACAGAGAAACATTAACATATAATTACCAATGGACCTCCTTTTCATCGGGTATATACTTTTCGTTGTTATATAAGAGGAGAGGTTCTTTTTGTAAAATTTCTGAATCCGAGTTGTTTTGATAATTTATGGTCACCTGAAATCCATCTAAATAAGTTTCCGCTGCCTTGTTCCACGAAAACATTTCACATCTAGCACCATTCTCTACGACTGTTATCAATATTAAAGGAAGTGACGATCCATTATACCGTTTTATAGCTCCGTTGGTAAATCCGCTTAAAGAAGATAAAATTCCGATCGTTCCTCGAGTCTCGCGGTACAATGTGCCTTCAAGATCACGAACTACACTAGGAGGACATTTATTACACAATGATTTACACTGACCAATAACCATCACCCTTTTTTCATCCGGTAAGACCCAACGACCACGAAAATCTATTCCATCATCACCCGCCTTTCCCACTCTTCTCGTAACAATTCCAAATAGTTTTTGGAGACATGTAATAGTTTCGTATTCATACAGAGTACCACGATATGCTGTAGTGCTAGTATCGACATCCTTGATGGTGAGAAAAGTTTCCAAATTATGGTGTCTTAATGATACATTTTGACGTTTTGATTGTTTTTTTCCCTCGTGTTTTAACGCTTCCGAAAATTGTTCTAATGGTTGTTTGGTTTTTTTGTTTCGACGAGTTTCACTTAGTTGCTGATTCAATAAATGTATGATACTAAGAACAGATATAAATTCTTTCCAGATTTTTGGTATTAGTTTTGCATCTGTTATCTCGTCGACTTTTTCTTCCGATTTCGTGATTTTAGGTTCCAAACTTGGTTCAATCTCATGCGGAAATTGTTTATTTTTTACAAAAGTATACGATGTCCTTTGAAAAAGGTATTTTAATGCATGAGATCTAAATGGGAAGTCTCTTTTATACATATTAACAATTTCGCGAAAACTTTGGATCGTCAGTTAATAATATCACGAGATTTATTATTATTGGTTATATTTGAAAATAAAACAGACGGCTTATACTTTTCGAATTTAATTTTTTTTGCATAACCAGCAACCAGTTTATAATCAAAAGAATACAGAAGTAAACCCTAACAATTAAGTTTAATCTTGAACAAAATTTTATTTCGTAATGGTTTTGAGGTTTATTACCATAGAAAGTTCTATTCAATTACTATATTATGGAAAACTACAAAAGAAATAGATTAAAAAAAAAGTGTTATAAAAAAAAAAGAAAAAAAATAATTTAAATTAAAAATTTTCTTTGAAAAAGAAAATTAGTTTAAATACAAGAAAGAAATTGTATTTATTATTATTTTTTTTTTTTGAGTACCCATAGCCAGGCTAGATTATCAGTTTATTAATCAATTGAAAACATAAGTACATTTT